GATAAACAAACCTGGCTTCCTCTTTATAAGACAGAATCTATAAAGTTGAAAAACTAAATGAATTGAAAAACAAAAAAACAAAACAATCTCAAAAAGGGGCTAAAAGGGGCAACAAAATAGGGAGGGGGAAGCAGCACTGACTAGTGCTCTACTTGCTCTATTCTTGTGGCACTACTTGGTCTATTCTTATGGCTTGTCGTTTCGGATACTAGATCTAATCCAGCTTTTACTAATAGCGTCCTTTAGTCTCTTACCCTGCTCATTTGTCCATGGCCCCATTGCCCAAAAGTGCAGTAAATTGTAGAAAATCGGGGCAATTCTAGCATTGAACAAACGAAATGGTATATTTTCATTTTCAGAGTACTGTCGTGGCAACGCTTGACTGAGTTCTTGAGTGATTTCCTTGATTGATTTTTCTCTCAACAATGTGTCCAAGCTCGTTTCAGTGGTTGTATCGCTTGCTTTTCCTTTACTTGTCTCTACTGCTACGTTCTCCCATGGCCTCATTGACTCGTCAACCGGAACCCACCGATTATGCTTTCTCCATAAATCAGAACCAACCATCTCCTTTATTCTAGACACTGCCCTTTTGAATGCAAACTTTTCGTCGTCTCCTGTAAACACCTTGATATTGGAATAATTACTGGCGGGGGTTGTGAAATCACCTTTTCTAATACTTTTCTCTTCACTATAAGATTCAGTGCTCTCCAGATCATAAGAAGCTATGTTTGGTCTATATGGATTCATCATGGCAATCGATGTCTTTGCAAACATTTCTTCATCTTGCACTTCTAATTGGTCTTTATTTCCCTCACTTTTCAAATGGATTTTTAAATACTCCATGAACTTAACATCAGTGGTGTTTAATGCATCGGGGAAAAACAAGTAATCAATACCAACTTGTGATCTCATAAAAAACTGGCATTTGGCTTCATAGATTGCATCAATAAGGGTTATGAATCTCCTTGCTTCATTCTTCTTTTTTGTGGTCATGATTGGCACATTATCCAAAATAATAATTTTGTATGTTGATGCAATTGTTATATAGTCTGAAGATGAAGTTAATCCTTGACAAATATCCTCAAAATCAAGATAACATATAGAATTATTTTGGAAAGTTAACGGAATCTTAGTCGTCCTATTGTAAACTATTATTTTTGATGGTTTTCCTATACTCGCCAAAGATTGCTGCATCATTGGTGAGTCCAACGGAATTTCCAATGCCTTTGTCTTTATCAACTCTTGCCACTCTTGCTCATTCTTTTCATTATCCCTTCGAATAACCAAATACGGCTTTTGTTTGGATTCACTAGCGAAATAAGTTCGATAATCCTTGCCGGACTTCATATCAACCGACATACATCTTGAGTTCAAAATCCCAACAAAACTCTTGAACTTCAATTTATTAAAGTCAGTAGAGTATAACTCCTCAGGTAATTTGTTAGAAGTGGCAACTAATACACCTCCTAACCGGAAAAAAAACGTGAATAGTATCTTAATAATATTGGCACTAGCAATATCAGGTAATACAAATTCATCCAACATCAAAACGGTGTTTTTCTGAATCATCTTTTGTGCTACTTCATACAATATGAACTCATTCTCCATTGTGTATTTTGCACCACGACCACTGCCACCATTATTATTATTATTATTATTATTATTATTCATCGTCCTAAATCTGTGCTGTTGAATCTTGTGCATTTCATTAAACACCCAAAGAATGAAGTTATTGTAGTGCCATCGCATTTTCGATTTGTAAGGTAAGGATGATGCAAAAATGTCCATCAATAATGACTTCCCCAGTCCAACATCTCCATTGATTAATAGCCCCCGAGGAGATGCAAAATTGGCCAATTCTTCCTCATCTGTCATATACTTGACCATTGACTTTTTTGTCTTTTCAGGGGATCTTCTAAAGTACTTTAGTGGAGAAAGGTTATACTCTTTTAATTGAACTTGTCTCATTTCAATTTCTCTAAGTAAAAGACTTAATCTAATTGACATTTCCTCCGGTGGCACGTAGTCCAGTACTCGATGGTACAATTTCTGAAACTCCTTCATTACGCGTATTTGCGAACAGTCCTTCTCTAATATGCCCTGTGTAATATAGTTTTGATATATCGTATATGGATCAGTTATGGAAACGGACCTATTATCTGGTAGATTACCTGATCTCGCCTCACCATTAAAAGCGAGTGACAGGGTGAACGGAACCCTACCTTCGACTCCTTGTATACCACTCGTAGCAATAGCCGAGTAATACCTGCACCATCTACCATTTACTAACCTCGGCATCTCTTCAATCTATAGGGTCAGGCAAGATAAAGTTTCCTTTTTTTCTTTTCAAAATCTCAATCTCCAGTTGATCTATCTTATACATTTATATGTTTCTTTTTTTTTTTTTTTTTTTTTTTTTTTTTTTTTTTTTTTTTTTTTTTTTTTTTTTCTTTTCTTCACTTCTTCTTTATCTATTTGATCTAATCAGATTAGATCGACATATAATGTTTGCAAAGAAAAAGGAAAAAAAAAATTGCAAACTAGAAATAGTGGGAGAAGAGGCAAAAAGGAAGGAATTATATCACAAAATTCACATACAGAGAAAAAAATACAGGCTTTGTTTATTTCAAATCCATTTGTGCAAACTTCCGGTCCAATGAGTTGGACAATCCGTTCATCTCTTCGTCACTACGCCCATATAGTTCCGACCACCATTTCATATCAGCAGAATTGAAAAATACAACACCTCCACAATCATCGTCATCTTTTTTAACTTTTGCTTTTGCATTTGTGTTTGTATTTGCCTTTGTCTCTGCCATTACCTCTGCCTTTCCCCTTTCCCTTACAGTATAAGCGGGATTTTTAAACTCATTTGGTCTTGAATTGAAATAGTCCCACACAGATACGGTCAGCTTATCAATACGATAAACTTGTTGTGCTTCCTTTTCCGAGTCACACAAAAAAGTGCCGTATTGGCAAGAATAATAGTGGTATAGTAATCTTTTCAAAAATCTAGTATTGAACTCGAAATAAGTTGGCTTTTGCCTATGGATTTGATAAATACAATCAATAAATTGGTGGAAAACAGGAGATCGTTCATTACTACCTCCATATGTAGTTGAAGAAAAAGAAATTGATGATTTGTTTATTAACAGGTCATTTGGGTAATCAGTTCCTTCATCGGGATAGTTGGATAATCCATTTTGAGCACTGTTTTTCAAATCCCTTGCCGCTTTTGCTGCTTTTTGGAAAAATGAAGTTACACTAGCAGCAGCAGAACTTGAAAGTTCAGAAAGAGGCCTATTTTCCAACATTGTCATACTCTCAGAAGAAACAGATTCTGCCGGTTGCTGCTGCTGCTGTGATTGTGGTGATTCATTTCCATTGGGTTGTGCTATATATTTCTTTTGTTCTTTCTTCATAACTGCTCCAATGCAGCCACCATGGTCGGCTCTGGTTCGATACTTAAATCCAAAGCTTGTCCATTCTTTTTCAATAAGAATCATAAACCCTTTAGTTGTTCTGTAAAAGGGATCAAGACATAATTGTGCCAATGCTGATACTTGAGAAGTACGGTCCCATCCATCAGAGCAGTGGATAACAACATTTGTATTATTCAAATGAATCGATTTGATTATCCGATCAACAGATTGTAAGATTATTGAAAGCCGGTGCAACCAGTATGTTTTGCTTAATGCTTGTTGTAAAGATGCAGATGCAGTAGTGGTAGTAGTGGTAGTAGTGGTAGTTGGTGTAGTAGTGGTAATTGGTGTAGTAGTGGTAGTTGGTGTAGTAGCTGTACTTGAATTGGATACGTTTACTTGTGAATTTGGCAGATACTTATCCAAATTGTTCAAAACTGTAGTCAATTTGTTCAAAGAATCCCGAATAACATGAATATTATCTATATTACAAAAGATTTTATCCACTTGTCTTGAGTTTCTATGTCCCTGTTGGTGTCCATCGCCGTTGTAATGGTCATCATCTTTATGCGGTTTTTTATTCCTATAATTCTCGACATTTTCAGTGCCTGCTCCAAGAGCATGCTGAGCCATGGCATTGGTCACGGGTCTCAAGTCAACGAGTAAATTCTTTTGTGGCTGTTGTGCTTGGTACCCTGTATCATTATCATTCAATATTTCTTCTTCACAGCTCTTCAACATAAATGCCTTTTCCAATTCTTGTGAATGGAAAATCTCGCCAATTAGCTTTTCATCTTGTATGGATCTGTTTTGTAAATTCAAACCAACCAATGGCTGTGCACAACGAGCAATCACATTACCATTAATGTTCGCATGGTGCTTATAAACAACAACAGGGATCCTCTGTTTGGATCTGAACTTCCCCGCATGTTGTAATACATTATCCGATATAGAGCTAGGAACAATCATGACTTTGGGATATGATGTGCAAAACTTATAGTTTTCATTGATATTTGTTAATTTCCAAAATAACTTATTATTATGCCCATCCCGTCTTAGTAGCCCTAACCGAGTATATTCCTCTATCGGGTCATATAAATCCCATCCTTTAACTTGCAAGTTCTGCTCTATATTATTAGGAACATACGAATATGCATACAACTGCCTGATATCATTCTCAATCTTACTCTTTGTAATTAACAAACTCATCTTATTAAACACTTCACAGCAGATTAAATCGTTTCTAAAATCAAATGAAAAATACGTGAAATCTTTACACTGCAACCTTATATGAGAAGCACTATAGTTGTCGAATCCCGCAATTTGTAATGCGGGAGAATTAGCCCTACTATGCGAACCAGATGAATTAGATGGCTTTGAATCAATGTTATTACTACTACCACTACCATAACCATTACTACTATTATCAAAATTATTGTTCAACCAAGTAGAGCCTCGGGCTTTTGATATACGTTCAATTATAGGATAACATACCCAGATTTCCTTTCGTTGCTGTGAAGCGTCCAACGTCGAGCTTATCGCCAGAGCCGTCCTTGGTGAATTGAATGTGAATACAAGATGAAATCGTGATAAAATGAGTGTTCCTAAAATATAGGACCCTCGTCTATTCAAAACCACTCCATCTACTGTAAACACATTCTCCATCTCTCAATGCTGCTAAGTTACAGAAACTACAATCAAGGGACGTTCGGTCGGCGTAGGGGCTTGCGCGTCGATCTTTCACCATACGACTTGATACAATGTAAATATATCAATCAATTTCTCTGATGCCCAAAAGAGCCGCCCGATAAGAACGGAAAAAAAAAAAATGGAAAAAAAAAAAAAAAAATGAAAAATTGAAAAATTCATACAGAGAGCTCTTTTGGATGAACAAATCCGTTTGTATTTTAGCATAAGTATTTCTATAAAAGGCCATGGCAAAACCGGCGGAAATGGAAAGCTAGAGTCCTTCGAATTTCCTTATTCCGTGTTCATGTTTTTGCATGTTTCTTAATTGCTTTGCTGAAAGTTTTTTTTGTTTAATTTTGGGCCTTTTTGAAACTGGTTCTTCAAGTCCATATTTGGAGATATTGTGCTTCTTGATTAAAGACGGTGAATTTTCCTGGAGATTTGCCTTGTCATCCTCTCCATCGATTTCACTTGAGTTTGACTCCGAGCCGGAATCATTGTCTTTGTCACTTTCCCGACTGTCTTCTTCATCACTTTTCTCGGTGTCTTCTTCACCACTTTCCCGACTGTCTTCTTCATCACTTTTCCCAGTGTCTTCTTCACCACTTTCCTCGGTGTCTTCTCCATCACTGTCAATGTCATCCTCCGACCCCTTTCTATTCGACCATATCTTCAAGCTCTCCAACCCAGCAGAAACCAATCGATAATCATAATCGATATCCAAGATTCCCACTTCATCAACTCCACTCAATTTGCCATGACCTGAAGAATGAACTCTAGTTTCAACGACTTTCCCCCTTTGGTAATTAACACGGTGCAAAAAACCCTCACTATCCCCACACCATACAGAATTTGCCATTTCCTCGTTATCAGTATTCATCGTTGGTACAATGGCATCTATAGAAGCGGTTTTATTAACTTTTATTCTTGATAACTGATCCATTAGCTTATTCTTGGAGTTTTTCCAAATGGTTATCAAACCTTCTCCATGACTCACCAACACTGTATCGTTTTTGTTATCGCAAAGCTCACTTGTCGTATACGACATCGATAAAAGCTCATCTTCTTGATCATCTGATTGGGTGATTATACCTTTTCGTATATCCAAATGAGAGAGTGTTGTTGAGCCCAAAGTGAGGTAATGGTATGGAGATACAGCAGGCATGCTCATTATGTGATTGATAGAATCATCGTGTGCTTGTTCTACTTTGAATTTGAGTTTGTTCAAAGCAAGATTCGTAGAATCGTAAACCAATATATGACCATCTTCAGTCCCTGACAATAGGAAAGGATGGGTTGCAGAATGGCACAATTTGGTTAGTCTGTCCTTCTCACTGTAATAATCTGCAACAACTTCAACTTTGCTTAATACTTTTCCCGTTTCTGTTGCAGCTTTCTTGATGATATTATCGGTACCACAGGTATATACAAATTCACCAAGTTTATCCACTCTTGGATCAAAAATCGCATGTCGACATGACCCTTTATGTCTTTTCGTTTTCCAGTTTGTCTTTACCTCTATGCCATCATTGGCAATATCTGTATTATTTTCAATTGTCGTCCACCATTTAGTCTTCAGTTGTGATACTGATTTATTAACTACATGAGAAGCTTTCCCGCTGGAATAAGCTTGTTTCTGTAACTTTACCTGTTTCGCCCTATTAGTTTGCTCAATCTCTTGTAATTTTTCACCATCATATGAATTACAATAGAGATGCCCTGTAGCTAAACCTGAGATGAGTATAGGTTTGGATGGATGTGCTGCTACTGTGAATAAAGGTTCAGTGTAATTGATCTCTAGTATAGGTGCCACAGAAGACTCTAATGCTTGTGCCGCACCAGCAGAACTTGATTTCCTCTTCTTTCCCATGCCTTTTGTCTCTAGTGGTAAACCAATATATATACAAGCAAGGTATAGATGAAATCTTTTTCTTCTCATTGAAAAAAAAAAAACAAAAAAAAACCCCACCAAACCAAATCAAATGGAACCAAATGGAACCAACAGTTTGTTGGTTGTCGCGGTACAGACATCTCGCAACCAACACCGCTAAATGCAGTCAGTGCGAATCAAATAGAATTAGCGGTACTGCGAATGTAACCATCGTTAGTTTTGATTTTCAGTTAGAACCGCTCGAAACGCCTTTTTCTTTTCCGTTATGATCTCTTCCAATTCATTTATCCGCTTATAGTAAACTTCATTAGCCAAACTCTCTGTATTGTCAACTTGATACTTTTTCAAAAAATTCTTGTACAAGTCTTTCAATTGATTTAGAGTATTCACTTTGATAGTTTTGTGTTCTAGTTGAGTAGAGATGTGAGTTTTCCATTTTTGAAGGATATCTTGTAGTAAGCTCAGCTCTATTTTTTCTAGGTCTTGTTGATCCTTGATGTTATTGATATAAAGAAGTTGTGATAATAGTAGGGTATCTCGAAGAGAATAATTGTTTGCGTTTGTAATTTGAGAATGGCTCATTGTGGTGGGAGAGGGGGGGAAAGAGAGGCAAGTAGTGAGCTCCAACAAATGGTCAATCTAGTTTTGTAAAGAGTTGTTTATGGGTCTCAAGGTATTATTGAGAAATCTTTCAATTTACACCCCAGTTAAATGTGAAAAATCAGAGTGTGTCGTTTGGATAAAACAAAAAGCCTTAAAATTTCATAAAGGGCAGGGGGCACCAGCACAACTATTACCAACAGCGGCGGCGACAGCGGTACAGAGCAATTTATAGTTCACAAGAGACGAAATTATACACCATACCAATACATCCACTTGCGGTACATAGACCACTACTACTATATATACACCTCAATTA